ACTAAATGAGTGGCGTGACATTGGAAGAAAGAATTTTAAACACGAACCAAGGGTCTATACATCCTCTGGCTCAGATCTCTTGTCCTTTAATACAGCTGTCAATGCTTCAATCTCCTTGCACGGGGAATCTTCTCCTTCAGCGTTGAGCAAAAAATTGTTGAATTCATCGCCAGAAATAGGCTCCAATGACGCGTTTCGCTATCCCAGCTTCCAATGCTATTATGTGCGACTCCAGGGGCTCGGACATGACGTTTAAGTGGTACTGACCGGTGCCTGGTATTGCTTATGGGGAGTTGAGCCGTATTTTGGCAGGCCAGTCTGCATCGTTGGAGAGGTGGTCTAGAAAGTAGCTCGGCTGATTTTGTTGCATACTAGTAAATGGAGAAGGGCATTCATTCAACGCAATCCTCCAGTTCAAGATTCTGGCTGCACACACACAGAGAAGAAGCAAATAGTAAAGTAGCAACAAGATTGGCGACAAGCCTGCATAAACACTCAGTAGAAGAACAACATGAAAAAAAAAACACCCTATCACTTTGAGAGTTATACTTGTGAGTCATGGTTGATATGAAGAATTACAAGCTGGCGTTTGTTTCGTCCGAAACTACGACAGAGTGAAAGGGGAGGTACATAAGGAAAGGCGACACAGAAAACAATACGAGATCTTATCTATTATTCCCACAAACCTCATCTGATCCTTAGCGATGTTATTAGCGACATTGTTGTGTGTTTGCCTGCGAACGTATATGTCAGGCCGTAGAGATGGCAGAGCAAGTATTGGGAACATAGAAGGCATAACACCGTCAGACGGTGAGAGGGAAACACATATGACCCTGGACAAGGATAGATTGAAAAAGGTCCTCAATATCTTGACAGAGGTCGCCCATGTTACGATACAGCGGGAATTGCGGCTGCACTGTTGGTGCGTCATGGGAGAAAATAAGCTGTTGAAACATCTGGCATCGTGTTCACGCCACATCTCGAAGTAATCGGGCAAGTCTAAGTCATAGATGCTGGATAATAACAAGCAGAACAATATTTATCATTCGGCCACTTGCGCCACCTTGATTCTTATCAAACACCACTAAATGACGGTCGGGTATGGTGTAACGGCTAACATTGCCGCCTCTCATGGCCATTGGCCCGCTATGTGCGCGGCAGCTCGGGGTTCGATTCCCCGTACCCGAAGTTAAAGGCAGTCGTAAGACGATCGAAGTTGTTTTAGAACCACAGTGGGCTAATGGGGAGGCTAGGTTCATCCATTTTTTTAACATGATAGTGCATAGCGTCTATACATAAGGATGTCCGTAGGCGCGCCAAGCACCGCCCATTCTTTTGCCTTGAATATAACAAGCTTTGAATACATCGATATCCACGAAATTCTGTCTAGACAATCTAGAGATATAAGATAAAATATTCAACAAGGATGTGTAGGAAGGGGATAGACGGGCAGAATAATCAAATGTATACGAGACCATGAATATGTACAAGATACATGCCATTCAGATCCTAGATGAAATGTGCCATGGGAATGAATGAGGAGGGGGACAAAAATAGAGACGATATGCAAATGAGGGAAGAATTAAACAATATGATCGTATGAAAACAAAAGAAAGATTACGATGAGGATACAGTAACCAGCGAAGGCTGCTCTATATGGGAAGTGACAGGCGTTGTCGTCGTTTCTGTTGAATCCTTGGATATCGAGATGTCCGCGAGCTTCTCTTCTAGTGCAGTGTCTGATGATGATGAAAAGGATCTATAGAAAGGGAGTGTTGAGGTTAAGTGGGTAGTGCATGAAAGAAGCCGAGGAGAGACGCACGAAGGGGCAGTTTCATCTGCCTTTTCGTTTTGCTTTTTGGGCTCAGGTGTGGGTGATGCCTCCGCAGAACCCTCTACTTCGATTTTGTGAACACGCGTCCCGTCGGGAGCGATGTCGCATGCGCTATTCATCGCGTAAGGAAGTTAGTTTGGTGTTATCAAGGAAGAAAAAAGAGGTAGGGAAGGACTTACGCGACAATCTGATCCCAATAACTTTTCGCCTCGAACTCATAATGATGCTCTCCGCCAAAATCAGCGTCGAGCTGCTCTGGCGGTATGAGTTCGTTCAAATCGGGGTTGAAGCGCATCTATACACATACAACCGAGATGAGCATGTGTTGTTATTCAAGCAAGATGGAACAGACCTTGTCCCTCGTGACAGGATCCAAAAAAGGCGAGATGCCTTTATAGAAAAAACTGAGTAGCATTGGAAGGTTGACTACCAGTGCGCGTCCGAGGGTCTCGACATAGTGCTGCTGGAGGATGTGCAGCACCTTGCGGGCGACGGAGATGGAGGGGTTCGTTCGCAGTGTTGTGGATTTGTAGTCAACAATGATGACGAGCGATTCCTGGCCGGGTGGCATGAGGTCTTTCGCGCGCTCTCTGTACATGATCATGTCATTGACCAGACGTATTTTAGAAGACAGTCAGACGTACAGACACCAAACAAGATGACGGAGTTGCCTCGGGGAAACCTCAGTATTCTCCCTACCGGGACGCATGTATATTATAGGGCGTCCGTCTCTGTCGAACCCATTGATGATGCTGTGAAACGCGTTCAACTAACAATTCGCGGGCTTTCTTTCAAGAAAGAGTGGCGGTACGTACATTTTACCCGTCTCGCTCTCGATGCGGACCTCTTCGGGTGGGATAAGGTCTGGTTTAAACTCGCGGCGCCATTCAAGCGTCGCTTTTATCCTCTTCTGCGCGTCCGCGAAATTCCACTTCGACGCCCGACTGTAGCGCGTCACGGTGTCGGGTTTATTGATCCATCGTCGTTCCCAAGGGTAGTACGGGTCCGTCTCAGGAAGGAGAAGCGTCTCGGCATACTGTTCAAGGCGATTTATTCGTCAGTTCGTTCGCCCGTGTGCTTTGACGCTGGTGGACTCGCCTCGCGCAGGGCTTGAATCTTTGCAAGCTGGTCGTCGGTGTATTGGTGTATGGGGGCGACGATGGTGCCTGGGGAGGGGGCGACGAGGACCTCGTTCGTGGGTTCGGGCATGCTGGTGGGTGTGTATTATCAAGGAGGGGAATGGCGAATTGGCCGAACAATGATAAAGGCAATTCCATCGGCATCTCTTGAGTCTTACTCAACCTTTTTTGGTCATTTTTCTGCGATCGGGTCATCATGTGATCGTTTGAATGGGTAATTACACGAAGAGAAGCCAAAGGACGAAAGCTGATTGATTAATCTGGACATCGTTCTGAATTGTGGAGGTGAAATAGAACAGCCCAACATCTATCTTGGCCGAGAGGCGCCTAGCGAACCTGCGACGGCCATGAACGTCGGATCCTTCTGAACCTTATATACATAGCTTGCAAGAAAGCCCATGCCATCGCAACTGAGATATCACGCATCTTCAACATGATAAAACATATATGGGAGACGGGAAACAAATTTGGCGTCCACATCATATCGAAAAAAAATCAGTCAGAGGGTGCTTCGTATTCACTGAGCAATGGAACCTCCACAGATATCGTACATCATAGGAAAGGGCACACCGTCCCGAAGTATAACAAGGTTACTTTTGTCGTGAATGCGGTAAAAAAGCATGCGGGATAGCAGTTATAGAAACGAACATATGATGAATGTCTCCAGATCCCCACTGCTGACAATGACCGGTCCATATTCCTCTATAGTGAGAGAACACACGTGTAGGCATGAACAATGGCGTAGCCTGAGCCAATTACATGGGCTTGCAAGGGAGTTGAGTGAGGAGGACGTTGTTGCGCTTCTTGATCGTGACACGATGACGAGAGAACTTGTCGTCAGGAGAAAAGCGTGCTGAGAGACCACATATTGTCAATTGAGCTCTCTGTAAAAAATAGCAATCGTTTGTACCAGGGTGTGCAGATTTTGTTATTCTTCCTGCATCAGTCACTTTCTGATGATGACTAGTCAATAAACGCTTACTGAGAGATTGTTAAGCAGCTTACCTTGAGAGTATACACTCTGTTTCCCTTTTCGTCAATGGTGTACATCAAATGCATGGTAGGCGTTGGTTGTCAATGTCTAAGGTTGTACTGAACAGTGCTAAATTGGGTTGTGAAAAAAAGTTCACACGTGACTACCCGTTCTGATTAGATTATCCTCAAGGCGTTTACAAGCGTCTACTGCTCCTCAACGATCATCTTATGACCATACTACGTGTATTCAATAAACCCAAAGTTGGAAAGTACACCAGATCTGTCTTGCATTGACTGGATGACAATGGATCCATCCACATCAAGTGCTGTATTAATCACGTCATATTCACACGTGACGCGCTCACCAAGCCTGGTCCAGGTCAAGTTTAAAAGCACACTTCGTTTTACGGCTCTTCTCTCAACAACTCCCATCGCACCACTTCCCTCTTCCCTCGTATACATCCACCATGCCTGTCAATGTCATCAACAGCTTCGAAGAATTCACCATCCTTGTAGGTACCCTAACTGCGATCTATCTTAATCTCACATATTCCGAGTAGATCAACAGTGGCAAGCCCATCGTAATCGATTTCTGGGCAACGTGGTGTGGGCCTTGCAAGGCGATCTCACCCATCTTCGAAAAATTATCTGAACTGGCCGAGTTCACTGGCGTCGAGTTTTACAAGGTCGATGTCGATGCGCAGGAACAGATCTCTCAGGAAGTTGGTATTCGCGCGGTATGTTTCAATGTCATCATCTTCGGGAAGTAAACTAATTTACCTTTTCCACTTCATTAGATGCCCACTTTCGCGCTTTTCAAGGATGGAAATAAAGCCCAGGAGCTTGTTGGGGCCAACCCACAGGGCCTCAAGGTACATATTGCCCTCTCATGCATGGTTATAGATGGATGCTAATGTCTGTGACCATCAGACGCTCCTTGAGGCAGCACAGAAGTTGGTCTAGAAGCTCATCAACTCTGCGCACTTGCCCACGGTTTTATAATATATGTAACAGCTATCGCATCCTTGACGGAAAGCAGAACCCAATTGTAACCATAGCTCTGTGATGTAATAGCACCTGCGTATGATAAAAGGAAAGCACAAACGATTGTGTGAAATTCAATTCTCAAGCAACTGGACATACTCAGTGTGGCATAAAGCCCAGTGAAAAGTCGGTCGGGTGAACACAAGGGAAACCGAGTGCGCCAATATGCGTCTCAATTATTACTATACCATGAATACGCATTGATACCACTCAACCCTACCCGATACCGCTCGACCTCATCCGGTTTCACCTCGACTTGCTCCGATTCGATGGGTCCCATCCGTTTCCACCCGTTTCCTCTTGACCACCCGTTTCCACTCGACTCCGCCAATTCCAAACCACCGGTACTCCGCCGCGCTAGTGTAGAATTCAGAAGTACCAAGTTTTCTGTGAAGAGACAATGAGAATGATGCAGAAAGAATATAGTTGCAGCACCACGCACCATGAAGAATATCACAGAGTGTCGTTGATGTCCAATTATATACGAAAAAGTTAGAAGGAACGGTAAATGGTATATGGACCATGTGCCGCTGTTAGAGTGAGCAAGTACACACAATCTCAATAGGAACTAGTGAGGCCAAGTAACACATCATTCAAAATGGCTTACTTGCTGGGCCTCTCAGGAGAAAGCCTGTCCTAATACTGACCAAATTCGTCTTCAAGACCGGCAGGATTTTCTTGATTCACCAGCGCTTGCAAATGCTCCTAAACGAGCGAGTGAGAAATAAGAAGACCTTAGAAAGAAAACAACGACTCACTTTGGATTATTGGCTGTCCCTGCCTTTCCCTTCTTCGACTCCTTGTGAGGCGCTGTCTCCGTCATCGTAGTTCCAGCAGCTGCCAGTTCTGAGGCTACCTCCTTCGGCTTCTCTCCAGAACATATCGCAGTCTTGATGGGGGAAAGAGGTGGTGCTGGTCAGATACTACAAATTAAGTCAATATATGCGTACTGGCTTGCTGAGAGAAGCTTCCATGAAGTACATCCCGAGTGTCTTCTCCATTCATAAGCCCAGTAAAATCGAATTCATTAGAACGAAAAAAGGATTCTGAAAATGGAGAGGAGGACATAAGTATGTATATGAGGACAAGTAGCGACGCACATAACATGTAGAATGACATGCGTTGTTTGGATACCAAACAACATGTAACCTAATTTGGACCAGGCACAACGGATATTTGGTGGAGGGAGCGGACAC